CTACAAAAAGAGATTGATACTCTACGGGCAGAGTTATCAATACTAGATGAAATATCAAAAGGTACACTTGTAAAAACTAGAAAAGCTCGAAATGTTAAAAAACGAAATGAAGTCACAGATGAAAGGTCTCTGCTGACTGCAAAAGAAACAATCAAACAAAAAATACAGGTAAAGGCCCAACGACTCCGCAGATTTGACAAAAGAACTCGGTTCTATAGGCAGAATAAAATTTTTCAGACTGATGCAAAGAAGTTCTATAGAGAAATAGGTAAAGGAACAATTAATGTTGAGGAGCCCCCGGTTGAAGAAGATATGACTAACTTCTGGAATGGTATTTGGGGAAAAGAGAAAGAGTTTAATAGTGAAGCCGAATGGATTAAGAGAGAACAGGAGAGGATGAATGAAGTGGAACAACAACAATGGGATGAAATAACAGTAATCGAATTGCGTAATGCATTAGCTAAGTCGCAGAAATGGAAATCTCCGGGCGTGGACAAAATTCCCAACTTTTGGTTAAATTCTCTCACATCTTCACATGAGAAACTAGCAATAAACTTTACCAAAATTTACAGAACCCAGAAAGAGCTCCTGAATGGTTAACTGAAGGAACAACATACCTCTTACCCAAAAACCAAGAAACCCAAAACCCAAAAAACTATAGACCAATTACATGTCTTACAACTACATATAAAATACTAACTTCCATTATAACTAATCGTATGTACAATTTTTTAGATGATAACGCCATCCTACCACAAGAACAGAAAGGATGTAAGAGAAACTCATATGGATGCAAAGATCAACTCCTGATAAATAGAACGATTCTCGAAAACTGCCGTAAAAGTAATAGGAACCTTAGCACTGCGTGGATAGACTACAAAAAAGCATTTGATAGTGTGCCCCATGACTGGATCCTAAAAGCTATAGAAATATATAAATTCTCTCCTATTATCACCAATTTCTTAAAATCAAGCATGGATAAGTGGAAAACTAGACTTTTTCTTTCCCATAAAAATGGATCACTCAAATCTGAACTTATAAAAATCAAGCGTGGAATTTTTCAGGGAGACTCTCTCTCCCCACTTCTCTTTTGTTTAGCGCTAATACCACTTTCTAGCGAATTAAATAACACAAATTATGGTTACAAAATCTACAACAAGTCTGTAAATCACCTGTTCTACATGGATGACTTGAAACTGTTTGCCAAAAGTGATCAAGATCTTGAAGGCCTGCTGACCACAGTTAAATGTTTCAGTGATGACATAGGCATGGAGTTTGGCTTAGACAAGTGTGCCAAAGCCTCATTTGTCAAAGGAACACTGAAAGCAACATCATCAGTTACTCTGGATCTAGACACTACTATTAGAGAGTTAGACCCAGAAGAAGCCTATAAATACCTTGGTGTCAGCGAGGGGAATGGCATCAATCATACCTCTATGAAAGAAAAGGTGAGGAAAGAATACTATAGAAGAATCAGATTAGTGCTTAAAACGGAGTTGAATTCCAAAAATCGTATCGAGGCTTTAAATACCCTAGCTGTCCCTGTCGTCCAATACAGTTTTAACATTCTGAACTGGAAAATGGATGAAATAAGACGAATGGACACTAAGACAAGAAAACTACTAACCTCCAATAGGATGCACCATCCAAAAGCAGACGTTGATCGTCTCTATCTCCCACGGAGGAGTGGTGGTAGAGGTATGATAAACTTAGAAACAGCCTACAAGACCTCGACAATAGGCATGGCAACCTACCACTCAGTATCTAAAGATTGGATGATTAAGCTGGTCCATCAGCATGAACAAAGTAAGAAACTTTTCTCCATTAATAAAGAAGCATGCAAATACGAGAGAGAATTTGAATTAGAAGACAACGTTGCTAGGAATGACGAGCTCCCAGCTACTAAACAAGCGAAATCCTCAAAGTCGTCTGCAAAAAGCTGTGCTTTGAGACAAACTACAGAAACATGGAACCAGAAATCTCTGCATGGAAAGTACCCACTCCGCTGCCAACAAGCTGATGTAGACCAAACCGCAACCCATCAGTGGCTAAGGAGTTCTGGACTTAAGGCAGAGACGGAAGGTTTCATCTTAGCTGCCCAAGATCAATCTCTTTTCACAAGAAATTACCAGGCAAACATTCTAAAAAATGGTGCTAATGAAAAGTGTAGATTCTGTGATACACATAAGGAAACTATTGATCACCTCATATCAGGGTGTCCAGTTCTGGCACCTAACGAGTACAAGAATAGGCATGACAGGGTTGGGCAATATTTGCATTGGACAATCTGTAATTCATACAATATCAAAACGTGTGAACACTGGTACGAACACAAACCTGAACCAGTTGTTGAAGGTGAAAATGCTACCCTGCTATGGGACTTTTCCATCCACACTGACAGAACCATCCAGGCAAATAGACCAGACATAATTATTAAAGATTTTAAAGAAAAGACCTGTCTCCTTATTGATATGAGTGTACCCTGTGACCAAAATATTGC